ACAATGTGCGTTTTTGCTGGCTGTAGCAGCGCTGCTATAGCGCTGCACAGCAAAAACGCATAAAAAGGCTTGTTTTCTGGCTTTATAGGTGGAGCTGATCGGATCATCAATATTCGACTTCCTTCACCGCGACGACGGGCCTGAATTGAGAAGCATCCTATCCAGCGCGGATTACAAGTTCACCACAAATGCGAACACCGTTCAGCCGTATGTTGAGGAAATCGAACGTATGTTCTTCATTAGGCTGAAATGTGTGTTGCCGAAACGAAATGCTGGAATCGTATACAATGGATATAAAGTAAGCGGATCTGTCTAACGAATTCTAGTCGCCACCCTCCGTTCTTCAACTGCTAATAATAACAAGATCGCTTGAGCAGTCTGTATGGAATTAAATAATCCTTAGTGGCATCGGGATATTCCAGGCCGAGTTCTTTAACCCTGGGCTGCATACTTCCATTTTTGCCATGAAACTTTATGGCACACTTTCGACCAATGCTTTGCTATTGCAGTAAGTGATTAATGAAGCTATTTGCCTTCACATCTAGCAGACTGAATATAATTGAAAATTACAAACTCAGCAGCTTGCTGAGATTTTAGATTCAGCCGTAGCTCACCGATTTACACAGAAACTGAAATTACATCGAGCGGCAATGAAACTTCATTCGCCTATTTATTTTGTACTTTCAGACAATTAACTGTTGGGGCTACTCGAAATTATACCATGAAACTGGGAATGTAACAAACTTGGGCTTGGTAGCTGTTGGCTATATGCTCAGTCACAGTGGCACCACTGAACTCAAACTTTCTTTTTCCACCTTCATGTTTCGAGCTCGTCTCGACCTCAGCCTTATTTTCATCGATTCCAGGTCACTATCCTCATGTTTATTGAGTTTATAACCACACTGCTATTTCTTGGCAATTCCAGAAGATATTTTTGTTTAAGAGTTTCCTGATCAGCGTGAGATTTCAAAAGTATAAAAATAATTCTCATGTTTACCTTCATTTCACGTTCGAGCGCCTCAAAAGTAAAATTGAATTGTTTTGGCAGGAAAAAAGGAAGGCCAAAGGAAACAGGGAATTGAAATTCAACGGGTGTGTTCTTTGTCTATACATAACCTAAATATTTAAATTCAGCTAACGTACGTCTGCATAATTCGTACGGACACTTTGATGGGGAGTGATTCTAAAAACCAGCAAAGTTAGGAAGCTCAAATTTAACAAAGGTTTCTTCTACCGCACCGACCTAATGATTTAAAATTCAGCTTTGAGCTGGCCTGAATCTCACGTGTGAACAACCGGAATTTCGTGCTGCAGCAGTGTTGGCAATCTTTTGAATCGAGAACGAGATTAAATAGCTGCATTTCACGATGTTTACTGTCTGCATGTAGGTTCAAAAATACTAAAAAAGCTTTCGCGTATGTCTTGCGTTTTAATGCATCGAAATTCCATTCCAAAATTGTCGGTATCCTTCTCTTACAGTAATTAAGCAAAGCCTAAATAAATGCTTCCAAATGTGGAAGGATGGCGCTTTCGGGATATGGACGAAACGTTCATTTCCAATATGAGTGCTCATATCAAAATATGATGCTTTTACTGTTAGCTTCATTGCTATACTGAAACTATACAAAATGCGTGGCCACGCTGGCAAACTTGATGCGTGCGGCTAATTATTGTAATTCATGCAGCGGCGCTTCGTTTGCAGAGTGACAGAACTCACTGGCTTCGCACCATCGTCACTTCTCGATATGTCATTGTATCAGATGGTGTTTCTAGAAGACGCGCAAATCATCGAGAAAGCTCACAAAATCCGTATGCTTTCCTTTATCTTCCATTTACTTTATTATGCGTTTTGAGCTGTTTAACAGCAGTACAAAACGCATACTGTCACGAGGTTGTCTGTGTGTGTTTGTTTGCATGTGTGTGTATGTCTGCAGCAACTTGTCTGCAACTTTCAACTCGAGAACTACAAAAGCTAGGAAGCTGAAAATTTAGGAGAACGTCGCCACCATATCAGATCCCGTAAATTTAAATTCAGCCTCCTCGTGTCCACGGGTAACACGCACGGCCACGTAAAAGTTTGGGCGGGCGAAATTATTGTCACGGGAACCACGGAATCTGGGAAGCTAAAATTTCGGGTAATGACCCCTTGTCCACGCACGACCTTGCAAATTCAAATTCGGCCTCCTCCTGCTCGCGGGTAACACATCCGGCTCCATGAAAACTTTGGCGGGTAAATTATTATCTCGGAAACCACGGAATCCGGAAGGCTGAAATTTTAGGGTTATGACCCTCTGTCCATGTACGACCTTGTAAATTCAAATTCAGTATTCTCGCGCTCTCGGCGATCACCTACGGCCCCGTGAAAATTTTAGCAGGGAAATTATTGTCTCGGGAACAATAAAAGCCAAAAAGGCTGCAGTTTGCGGTAATATGGCCTTCTCACATACGAATCCGCAAATTGCGCGTCCAATTATCACTTACAGCCCCAAGAAAGTTTCGAAGGGGAAAACTATTATCTCGGGAAAACGAAAGCTGGGAATCTGAAATTTTAAGGTGAAGTCCCCTATCAACTTACGACCCTGTAATTTTGAATTTAGCCTTCATGCAACCCTTGATACCACGTACGGCCCCGTGAAATTTTTGGTGGGAAAATTGTTGCGTGAATTATAAAAGTTAGGAAGTTGGAACTTTGGCGTGGCATCTCCTGCCCATTTGTAACTCCGCAAATTTCCAGCGTTCCCGTGAAAGTTTTGGCGAGAAAAATCATTATCTCGGGAGGTGGAAGAGTTAGAAGGCTGAAAACTTCGGATTTTTCTTACCTAAGCAGAGGCTTCACAAACTTGAATTCAGTTCCTAAGTATGCCTACATCTTACATACGATCAAGTGAAAGTTTTGTCTCAAAGACCATTCAAAAGCCAAAAAATTAGGAGACTGAAATTTTAAAGAAGGATATTCACGCTTCGAAGTTTCAAGTTTAACTTTCACGTTAAATTTGAAATTTCGAATATTCACGCTTCGAAGTTCCAAATTTCACGTGCCGGTGTGAAATTTTTAACTATTTTTCAACTTTTCAACTATTTTTGCACAGACTAAGATATAAAACAGAGAAATTGACTAACAGGCAATTGTTTGGTGGATGGAATTGCTCAAAACGCATGATCGCACTGGCTATTCTGGTGCGCGTTGTTATCATTTTGTATCAAAGCGCAAAAACCATACGCTAGATCCTGTCTCTTTCCGTGTATGCTCGAATATTTGTTCAGATTTTTCAAAACAGCAACCAGAGAAACTACGAAGCTGAGAACTGTGGAGAATGTTTTTTGATCATGTCTGCCAAGGCCGGCCTTAAATCGGTGCTAATGGTGCACATAGATCGTACTTCTAGATGCATGAAAGTTGTAACTGCAAAAATGGTCGCTTCTTCCAAACTTCAGAACCAGACAAGACAGAAAGCTGAAATAGAGTGAAGATGTTTCACGTCCATATGCAGCTGCGAAAATTTAAATTCAGCTTCCACATAAGCTTATGTTTGGCGAGTTTTCAGCTTCGGAACCAGAAGACAGATGAAATTTTAGAAGCGCACTTCCCACCTGTCCATGTGGAGATTCCAGTCAAGCTTTCACGTATGCCAAATGTCACGATTCGGATTTGTCGACATCCGTTTTGACGGAAAAGATCTGTCAGGCTATAAGGGCGCCAATCGTACCTAAAACATCGTACACCACCGTCATTTATCAGTATTATATCAATGTAAACACGTCTAAGGGCTTATTTCATCTTTAAAAATCTGTGCCCGCACTAATAATAAGTGTTTCGGTTGGCCGGGTGATTGAAGTGTACGGGAATCATCATGCAGTAGTTTTATAGTGCTGCACAAGAATCAGTCGACGACGGGATATTATCGCCTAGTGCACAATACTCGAGGATACGTCTGGGCGCAAAGTCAATTCTACATAGTGCCGATGCTTCGAGCAGCCGCCGCTCATTGCATTGTTGCTATCACCGAAGTATTCAGGTACTCTCTACTTTATTAACATCGAATAACTCGGAAATATCATCCTGGAATTTTCAGTGACCTAGCCAGCTATTCCAGAACACACTATACCGTAAGTTTGTATGCTCCTTAGCTAGCACCACCGACTATCGCTTCCCTCGTCAATTTTTATGCGTTTTTTACTGTGTAACAGCATTAAAAACGCATATTGTCACAGGGTTGTCTGTGTGTGTATGTGTGTTTTTCCCACATTTTGTCCCGCACTTTCAACTCAGAACCCACAAAAGCTAGGCGGCTGAAATTTTGGCGCAGTGTTCCCCACCAGCAGGTGACGCGGCAAATTTAAATCCAGTCTTCCCGTCCGGCGGGTAACATGCACGGCCCCGTGAAAGTTTTTTACGGGTAAATTAATATCTCGGTAACCACGGATATTAGGAGGCTGAAATTTTAGGGTAATGACCTCCTGTCCACGCTCAACCATGCCCATTCAAATTCAGCGTTCCCGCGCTCTCGGATATCACCTACGAGCTGGTGAAAGTTTTTACGGGTAAATTATTATCTCGGGAACTACGGGGTCTAGGAAGCTGAAATTTTAGTGCGATGACCCCCTACCACATTCGACTTTATCTATTCAAATTCAGCGTCCCTGCACTCTTGAGTATCACTTAGGGTCTCGTAAAAATTTTGGCGGGTAAACTATTAACACGGGAATCACGGAAAGATATTCACTCTTCAAGATTTCGAATTCAGCTTTCATGCGTTGGTGCGTAAAATTTTCAACTATTTTCTAATGTTTGAACTATTTCTGCATAGACTAAAGTACAAAGCAGTAAAAATCATTAACAGGCAATCATTCGATGGGCTGAATTGCAAACCCAGGCTGGAACGCACCAGGCGGGCCGGAGCGATTATGCGTTTTTGCGCTTTCGTACCGTA